CTCATTTTCGAAAAGGGAAAATTAAGCACTTTTAAAAAAACACCCACTGAAAAAAGGACCTTTAAGGTCTTTTAAAAAATGAAAATAAGCACCTGAAAGTACTTTTAAAAAACGCTATGCACCATATGTATTAATTTGACTCCGTTAAGGTTGGAGTTCTTATGTAATAGTATTAAATAAATAGTATTGTAAAACATAAATTAGATAAATGCCATAAAGCTTCTCATTTTTAAATTTAAAAATTATATGAAACAAATAAATGTTTTGTAAATTTATATTTTGATTAATCAGAAAAAGAATAATCGCAGCCAATCGCTGCTTCTATGGTTTAAGATCATTATTGAAATCCCACTTAATAAAAAGACGAAGATTTTACTTTATAAGGTATTAATCAAGTCAGTTTTGACTTATGCTTTAGAAACATGGACTTTAACGAAAAGGGAAGAGAAGTTATTAGCAACCTTCGAAAGGAAGGTCTTACGAATCATCTTTGGTGCTATCCTCCATAACAACAACTGGAGAAAAAGATATAATTTTAAAATATATAAGATCTCTAATAGCGACGATATCATTAAATTTATTAAACTAAGTAGAATGCGATGGGCCGGGCATGTAGTGAGAATGAGCCCAGAGCGAACAGCATTAAGAGTCTTTAATGCAACCCCCTCCAATAAAAGGCCAAGAGGGAGGCCCAAAAAGAGATGGAAGGACTGTGTGGATGAGGATTTTGGCATCCTTAAAGTAAAGAACTGGAAATCAATTAATCCTTAAAGTAAAGAACTGGAAATCAAAGCGGATTTCCGCTTTTTCGCTGAAGTCTTTCATCCCTGCAACACATAATTTTTAAATAAGTCTAATACGAAGATCGATGATTGATATTAATATCGAGTGAATAAGAATCGAGATTTTGTCAGAATCTGGAGCAGTTCCTAATATTTAAAATTCCTAAAATCAGTCAAACATGCATAAAATCCTAAAATCAAACAGTACGTGTCATCATCTGAAAGACGGGGAAGTCATTCTCTCACACTTACGCGCGTCAAAAAGTTAAACATAGAAATACTGGTTTTCCTGAGTTTTCGATACTTTTCAAGGTGATTTCGAATTTTTTCAAGGATTTAATATCATTTTCAAGTACTTCTAGGGACCCTTGAAAATCAAAATGAAATTCAAGAACTGAATAAACATGCATTTTCATCCATGAACCTTATGAAGAATTTTATTAAAAATGGAGGCAAAGGGATGAACATTTAGCATTACTTTTTGAAATTTGAACAATGCAGTTTAATGCAACACATTACTATTTTTGCTGTAATATTTTAAAGCTTCTTGAAATTTTAAATTATTATATTCCAATTTTCAAAGAATTTTGCTTAACACTGTATTAAGATAAACTAAACTATTTTATGATAAACTAAATTTATTTACAGGGTGCGTAGCCAAATTATTCAAGAAAAAATAAGCACTTTTCAAGCACTCAAAAAATATTTTTAAGCACTTTAAAAAAATATCATAGTTAGGCAGGGTTGGAAAAGTTTTGACAAATGACGGTTTTATCTACAGATCGGCTCTGCATTCTTGTCTCCGCCTATGTTGGGCAGCCTCGGCATGCTTATTTCTGCTCATTTTAGACAGCCTCGGCATGTTCATTTTCGTCCTTTTTCCGACAGTCTTGGTATGTTCATTTTGGCCCACTTTAGATAGCCATAGCATGCTTGTTTTTGCCCATGTTAGACAGCTTCTGTATGCTTATTTCTGGTGACTTTAGATAGCTCTAGTATTTTTATTTCTGCTCAAGTTAGATAGTTACGTGATGCCTATTTCTTCCCACGTTGGACATCCTCGGCATACTTATTTCTACGTCTGCTTGTTACTCTTGGTATACTGAATTCTATCCCCATTAAATAGGCTTTTTTCTGCATTTGTTAGTTTTAGCGCATGTTAGAAACATATGTCGGCCCATATTAATTTTTAAGGGTTAATCTTATAACTTTGTGAGATAAACTTAGATTTCATTTATGTTCATGCTACTCTGATGAAGCCTATTTCTGCCAACATTGTAAAATTTTGTTCGGCTTGCTAAGCTGATTTATGCCCACAAGGCGTAATTGTTTCACTAATTTCTGGCAAAATTATATTGTTCTGTTTAGCTGACTTCTGCCAAAATTGCATAGTTTTGTTCAGCTGATTTCTTCTCACATTTTATAGCTTTGTATGGTTGATTTCTGAACACATTACAGTTTTTAACTCTGCTGATTGCTGAACACATTACGCAGGATAATTTCTGTCCACACTAAATAGTTTTGATCGTCTGGTTTGTGCCCTCCTTAAACACCCTTCCATATTGTAGGCTTTTCTCTGCTAATGTAATATAGTCTTGCTAGGCTGTTGACGTTATATTGTATTAGTGTGCTTTTATTCCGTTTGATAGTCTTGCTTAGCTTTTTTGTCCCACATTGGATAGTTTTGACCGGCTTCACCCAATTTGTTATCCCAATTTCTTGTTAACCCAATTTTTGCCCCGTCAAATAGAATCATGTTATTTCGAATTCTCTCGGTTGGTTTACTTCTATCTTGTTCTATAGCCTATGTATTCTTATTTCTGCCCTCGCTAGTCACGGTATGAAATAAACAATGTATGATAGTATCTGTATGCTTGTTTCTGTCTATTTTAGACAGACTCTTTAAGCTTGTTTCTGCCCACTTCTTTTCTTATTTTGATAGTAATTTAGTTAGAAATATTTTTCACTTGAAAATTTTTTGTATATTTGCTCTATATCATTAATATCACATTTATTACGTTAGAAGACTAGAAATAGCTAAATAAAGAATAATAGTTCAAGTTGGCTCCATTTTTACAAAACCTTTAGAATAGAAGATATTCTACGTGTTTAAAAATGAATAGCTAAGATAGTTGTTATATTGATTTTAACTGGATAATTATAATGTTTGTGAGTAAAGATTATAATGACGCAGCATGGAAATTCGTCAGTGTTATCGGAATAAGAAGAACCAAGAATGGCTAGAAGCGGAACTGCTTCAAGGTAAGTTTAAGTAAGTACTGGGCACTCTAATTTAGCCCGAATATGAACAAATATTTTTTATTTCATATAAGAACAAAATGAAATTAGCCCACATATTATTATAAGTAGTTTAGTTTGGCTTGCTAAGCTGATTTCTGCCCACAAGGCATAATTGCTTAGCTGATTTCTGCCGACATTATATAATTTTGTTTGGCTCAGTTCAGAACGCATATTGTTTTGCTCGGCTGATTGCTGCACTGTCATGTGCAGTATTGCTTTTGAAATATATCCAATGTAACACAACAAAACTATATTTATTAAAATTTAAAACGACAAAACAAAACAATTATGAGTATATAAGGGCCCTCAGCGGCCAAAATAGAATTACAGAAATATTCTCTTATCGAGGAAAGACCAGCCTACGCGCTGGCTCCTCTTCATCTCTCTCTTCTTAAATCTTTAATTGGGTTTTAACTCGCCCTCTAGCGGTGAGCCAATCACTACACCCCCCAACCAAGATTGAAATACTAATTTATACTTTCAATCTGATATACAATATCAAAATGAATACTGAATATTTCTATAAAATAGTGCACATGACATTGGCGCAGTCGACAGGATACGAACTGAATCACGTGAGTAACTTTTTTTCATATTTTTATGGAAAATGGCTTTCCTAGCGAAAGGTAGGAAAGAGGATTTGCAGTTTATTGCTGCTGAATTGGGTGTTGAGAACACCCAAGATTTAAAACTTTATGAGTTAAAAACAGCGATTATTCAGAACTCTAATTACGAAGAACATTTTGTTAGATAAATGTTATCTTCAATAATGGAGACGAAAAGAAGAAAATGAAGAAATGAAACGAAAAGAAAATATGGAGTTAGAATTGCGAAAAGCTACTTTAGAATCAGAAAAGATGAAGCTCGATTTGGAATCCCAGTTAGAACGCGAGAAAATAATTTCAGAGAAAACAAAACTTGAGAAAGAATCACTTTTGGAATTAGAGCGTAATAATTTAGAGAAAGTTAAATTAGAGAGTTCGCTTAAGAACCCAAATAGTGTAATGATCTCCGAAAATGTAAACATAAATTCAGTCAAGAATTTCATACATAGCGTTCGCACTTTAACTCTGCCGATTCCTAAAAGAGCAGAAGGGTGGAATTTATTTTTTTCATCTCTAGAGAGAGTTTTAATACAAAAAAGGTGCCCGAAGAATTAAAGGGAGAAATTTTGTTAAATTTAATGGGGGAGAAAGCTGCCAATATTTTGATTTACATTAAGGATGAGGATATAAAGGATTATCAAAAAATAAAAGACACCAAATGTCATGTGCACTATTGCTTTAGAAATATATCCAATTTAACAGCAACAAAATAATATTTATTAATATTTAAAACAACAAAACAAAACAATTATGAGCATATGAGGGAACTCAGCGGCCAAAATAGAATTACAGAAATATTCTCTTATCGAGGAAAGACCAGCCTACGCGCCGGCTCCTCTTCTTCTCTCTATTCTTAAATCATTAATTGGGTTAGTGATTAACTCACCCTCTAGCGGTGAGCCAATCACTACAATGATAATTTCTTTAGAATAATATATATATNGTTGTTCACTGCATAAGTCATTCCATTTCCTACGCCATTTTCTTTTGATTCAGGAAAATTGCTTATACCGATAACAGATAATTATTCAGGATTAATTAGCTGTTTCTCGCTTTTCAGGTATTCTTTCTATTTTACATATTTCTATCTTTATTCTACTATCCTACATTACCCTTTTGCCTGTGAGAGGTGGTTTTTCCCATTGGGCCAAAATCAGAAAGGCGGTTGGATAAGCAAAGCACAGGTAGGGTGGTTAAGGAAAGTATGGGAGCTTGAATTGTAAAACTTCCAAGCAGAATTATTTCCAGTAAACTTCAATATTTGAATTTTGGAATAAACCAATCTTTTAAAGAACATTGAACAACTGTTTAGGTAATAATTTCTTTTTCTTGATTCCAAAGATCTGCAAAATGCTTCTAAAGCAAAAATAAATCTTCAAAAACTTCGTAACTACAGCATTGGATAGAGTTGATTAAAATGCACCATAAATGGGTTTAATAACGCTTCCTGGAGCTAATTGCTACCCAGCATCTGACGGAAACATTGGACCTTTGAATTAAAATTGTGTGGATGAAGATCTTCCAAAGGCAATGACATGTATATCGAGTGCAACACACATCCCATTATTTTTCAATCCTCCAAAAATCTGATTTAATGCTCAGTCTCGATAATAGTAAAGAAAATGAGCAAAACATTTCAGAGGATTTGCTACCAACTGATCAAAAGTTTGAAAGCATAACATGCAATGTTTCTAGTAGTTCATCTTGTAAATGCCAATTTTTAAAAACATGCTATTTTTTTTTTAAAAAATCCCTATCTTACATTATCCTGTTTGGTAAGTCTTTTAACGCTAGTCTGAAGAAAAATGTAAAACCTAGGTTTTACATTTATACATATATGTATATAAAGTATTGTATACATATATGTATATAAAGTATTGTATACATATATGTATATAAAGTAAAAAAATTAATTTTTCCTTTTAGAACGTCTAAAAACTTAGTAATGTTATAGTATTTTAGTACTTGATTTTTAAAATTATCGGTTGTAAAGGAATTGCAAAGGTCAGTTGTAAAATAATGTAGAAGACAAAGTAGATATTAGATATGTAAATGTAATAAAAGTATTACCTTTAATACTATTAATTCCACAATCAATAACCACAGCTCCAGGTTTGACCCAGTCTTTTTTTACCATTTGAGCTTGGCCAACAGCAGCAACAATTATGTTGGCATCTTGCACCTAATGTGAAAGAAGAATATTACATTTGGATTTAAAATTAAATTAAATGGATAGAGATGCTGGCATAAAATCTTAAAATTATTAATCAAGAGAAGGACACAAAAATTCATATGAATATCAAAAAAGCTTTGTTTTAGCCCTTTTAAGATTAAAAAGAAAAGTTACATGATATTCTAATAAAAGATTTTTAATTGTCAACTTCACTTTACAAAAATGAATATATTACTAACACATTTGACAATTAGTTTAATTCTTCTTCCAATACTATTAATTTATTGCAAATTACAGTACTTAGCATTATAATTTTGTTATTATTTTTAATTAAGTTTTATGAATTAAAAAAGCAGTGATAAAGTTGGAGAAATTGTCTAAGGCATAAATGAATAGTCAGTGAAATGACCTGTCAATAACATGAATGAAACTATACATCAAAATTCTGTGCTTGGCTTAAACATTTGATTTTTGAATGTCTAATTCACTGAAGTACCAAATCAACTCATGTAACAAAATTAGAATCTTCACAATATTTTAAAGACTTGAAATCTATCATTCAATAAAAAGAATATTCCAATTTTAAAATCACATGCACTACAATTTTGAACAGGATTTCAGTCTAGATATAAACTCCACGGTTTGAATTTTTATTCTATGTAAGTACACAATATTTGATAATAATTTCAAAATATATGGGCCAAAAAGAACAAAGAATGCAATAGATGTAAATTACAATTTTTGGTGAAGTTAAACAGCCCAGATAAAATAACAGCATAATCCAAGTGCATGAAAACTATGTGAATTGTGGATTGAATGCCTGTACTTATTAATTTAATTAATGCATATATGTATAAAGGATTACCAGTTTTTATTAGAAAAAAATTGGGACCAGCAAATAAATGGAGAACCTTCCACAAATTTAAAAAAAAAAAAAATTGTATAAGTTTACTTCTCATATTAATAGTGGCAAGTGAAAATTAAAAC